TGTCATTCTAGGAGGACTGTATTCCATGTCTGCATTCCGTTTTCTTTTCTGATGGAAACCGTCCCCATCTTTGGCTTCGGCTTGACCTTAAATAACAATTACAATGATTAATATAGTGCTGACATATTCTGCAGCGCAGTACAATAGGTAAAAAAAAGAAACAATTCTAACAAAACGCATTTGACAAACAGAAACAATAGGTGAAGAGGAAACAGATGAGCTTACCTTCCCAGCATATTTTTCGTTTACGACTGCGAAACACTGGGCTTTCATTGGCCTTAGTTTGACCAGCTTCCACTCTGCCCCTTTTAACTTCTGGACATCGACCATCCTTGGTGCTATCCCCTCTAATCTGTTGGGATCTCCCAAACTGAGACTGACAATTTTGGGGATAGTTGAATTCCGTTGATTTCACTGGCAGACTTTGAGTAGGTAGGTGGTATTCTGCCAGTTTTTTATCCAGCTCCTCTAGTGTCATTCTAGGAGGACTGTACTCCATGTCTGCATTCTGTTTTCTTTTCTGATGGAAACCGTCCCCATCTTTGGCTTCGGCTTGACCTTAAATAACAATTACAACGATTTATATAGTGCTGACATATTCAGGTAAAAAAAAAAAAATCAACATTTCTAACAAAACACGTTTGACAAACGGAAACAGTAGGTGAAGAGGAAAAAACTTAGCTTACCTTCCCAGCATCTTTTGAGTTTACGACTGCGAAACACTGGGCTTTCATTGACCTGAGTTTGGCCACTTTTAACCTCATGCCAGTGACCATTCTTGGTGCTATTCCCTCTACACTGTTGGGATCTCCCAAACTGCGGGTCATCTTTGGGCACCTGCCTGGCATGGTTAACATTCTGTATCTTTCTCTTCTCTTGCCTTCTGCCAACCTCTCCTCCACATTGGGACTGACAGTTTTGGGGATAATTCTGCCTCTCCGATCCATCCATTTTATCTTGCACAGAACGTCTTTTTTCCATGTTCTGGTCAAATCGACGTTTTTTAGCTAGATGCTGATGGATCTGGCGTGAAGAATCCCGGACGTTAAGCTGTTCCCGTGGTTGGTCTTTCACTCCGTAATTAAAGCTCCTGTTTTTGGGGTGCTTCTTCTCGCGCTCCATTTCAAATTTCGACATGGACTGTAAAGCCCTATCAATGTAGGTGCACCTGCTGTGCTATGATATTTTCTTTTTTTTGTCTTTTCTACAATTTTTGCGATCAATAACATTTACAACCTGCTGCAATGACATACAACAGTGATATGACCTGTCTGCTGCCTTTCATCACTGATGAAAATCAATAAAGTTCAAGAACAAACAAATACCAGTAGGACTTTATCAATAATAAAGGACCTGAAGAAGTTTTTAAATCCAGCATTTTTATTATGTTTATTAAGAAACATTACTACAACTTACAAATTAAACTATGCATATATTCAATGAACGCACAACACAATATATGTTTACATAATCAAAAAGCAATATTTCACAATAAACAGGTCTTATTAAATACTATTATTTGTATAATGGCCCATAACTCTTATCTATCACACAATTGCGTTAATAAGTAGTAATTAAAACAATTATAAATGGAATATCTATGAAAAAAATTATATTTACATACAAAAATAAAATTTTATTTTAAAAATTCTAAAGGTGTCTTATACCTTTTATCTTGACTTTGGGTAGTAGAACCAAGTTAAATAAGTCACATGACTACGGCAGATTAACAACATGAACATTAACTCTCCACATAAGAAACATTTAAAGCTTATATTCCTTTTTAACATTTTTGTTCTCACATTTCCCAATAGTAAGTAAGATTGTCGCACAACTGAGAAGGCTGTCTAATGGCCAATTCATAACTTTTATTCTCCAGAATAGAATTGAGATCTTCTTTAACTGATGGAATGGCAGGTGACCTCCAGTGTCTGGGGACAACTGTAGTGGCAGCAATGACAATATGTCCAATAATGATTTTTCAAGTGAACTTGGGAACTTTTTAAACAAAACCAATTCTGAGGTTAATACGCAGATGTTAAGATTCACATTTTGAATGAATTTATGAACGTCTTTCCAATATTTTGTTAACTTTGGACAATACCACAGAATATGTGAAAGAGGACCAACCAAGCCACAATTTCTCCAGCTATTACCCGAAAAATGTGTGCTCATTTTCTTCATTCTATGTGGTACCAAATGCCATCTGTATATTATTTTAAGGTGGTTTTCCCAGTGAATGGAACATTGCGTTATTTCTTTTAGAGTAGGAATGAAACTTAGCCATTCCTCCTGGTCGTACTGTGCCCCTAGATCTCTCTTTTAATTCTTTATTTTTGGATCAAGCCACAAGAGTATGGTTACAATACAGAAATAAGATTAAATCATTATCACAGTAAATACATGAGATGGTACATCAATACTGAAGGATATAATTTGCATAGCAGGTAGTGACTTGAAATGTTTATGTTAGTTGAAGATTAGCATAACCAGTAAGCTTTGCAATGCATATCTCTCATGTTTACACTGTTTAGTAGATCTTCCTTGCTAATGATGTTAACTAGTGGGAGATGTGCACGTAAGGTGAAGTTTTTACACCTGGTTAGGGCAATGCCAGACTTGTCTACCATGGCTGACTGGGATCAGGCAGTGGCGGTTATCAGACGGTCTAGGAGACCCTAGCAGACACATACACACAAAATCACTGTGATGGGCTGAAGCCTACGTGACACTGAAGACTGTGGGAGCACTGGGATGTGGATTTGCCATGTTCTGGCAGAGCATGAATGTGGGGGCGGAGCTTGAGGGTGCGGCCTAAGAGGTCCCAAATTGCTGGGAATTGTGAAGAGAGACTCCCCCCAGCCGCTGGCAGGCTAAATACGGCCGCATTAGCCCCCAGTACCTCCCTCATTAATCTCCTCAGACTGACACAGGCTATCACAGCACGAGGGGAAAATAAGTTAAAATGCTTTAGTCTCATGATTAGGGCTGTCTGCCCAGCCCCAGGTGGCAAGTCCCACGGGGAAATTTCCTGGTATCCCCAGTGGGCCACTCCGGCCCTGGATGTACTTAAGGATGAGGTTGCAATTTCCAATTACATACCATAGCAACTCTTCCAGGACAATATAAAAGATTCACGACAGGCACATAGTCGCCATATAGGCATAGAAACATAGAAACATAGAATGTGGCGGCAGATAAGAACCATTCGGCCCATCTAGTCTGCCCAATTTTCTAAATACTTTCATTAGTCCCTGGCCTTATCTTATATCTAGGATAGCCTTATGCCTATCCCACGCATGCTTAAACTCCTTTACTGTGTTAACCTCTACCACTTCAGCTGGAAGGCTATTCATGCATCCACTACCCTCTCAGTAAAGTAATACTTCCTGATATTATTTTTAAACCTTTGTCCCTCTAATTTAAGACTATGTCCTCTTGTTGTGGTAGTTTTTCTTCTTTTAAATATAGTCTCCTCCTTTACTGTGTTGATTCCCTTTATATATTTAAATGTTTCTATCATATCCCCCCTGTCTCGTCTTTCCTCCAAGTTATACATGTTAAGATTTTTTAACCTTTCCTGGTAAGTTTTATCCCGCAATCCATGAACCAGTTTAGTAGCCCTTCTCTGAACCCTCTCTACAGGGGTCAAGTCCTGGGGAAAAAAGTGTGGGAACTCACCCAAGATTCCTGCCTCCTTAAAAATAAATAAATAAAAATTACACTCCTATGCATATAGTGCAGTGCATGTATAATGAATGTAGTGTGTTTGTAGTGAATGCAGTGTGAATAATAATTGTAGTGTATTTGTAGTGAGTGCAGAGTGTGTATAATGAATGTAGTGTGTTTTTAGTGAGTGCAGAGTGTGTATAATGAATGTAGTGTATTTGTAGTGAGTGCAGTGTGTATAATAAATGTAGTGTATTTGTAGTGAGTGCAGTGTGTATAATAAGTGTAGTGTATTTGCAGTGAGTGCAGTGTGTTTTTAGTGAGTGTAGTGTGTATAGTGAATGCAGTGTGTATAGTGAATGTAGTGTTTTTGTAGTGAGTGCAGAGTGTGTATAATGAATGCAGAGTGTGTATAATGAATTTAGTGTGTTTGTAGTGAGTGCAGAGTGTGTACAATGAATGCAGTGTATGTAGTGTGTTTGTAGTGAATGCAGAGTATGTATAGTGAATGTAGTGTGTAGTGAGTGCAGAATGTGCATAATGAATGCAGAGTGTGTATAGTGAATGCAGAGGGTGTATAGTGAATGTAGTGTGTTTGTAGTGAGTGAAGAGTGTGTATAATGAATGCAGTGTGTGCGTGTGCTGGATGATGTGTGTGTGCGCGCTGGATGACGTGTGTGTGAGTGCTGGATTTTGTGTGTGTGCATACTGGATGATGTGTGTGTGCGTGCTGGATGATGTGTGTGTGCGTGCTGGATGATGGGTGTGTGCGTGCTGGATGATGTGTGTGTGTGTGTGTGTGCTGGATGATGTGTGTGTGTGTGCTGGATGATGTGTGTTTGTGCTGGATGATGGGTGTGTGTGAGTGCTGGATGATGGGTGTGTGAGTGCTGGATGATGTGTGTGCTAGATGATGTGTGTGTGTGAGTGCTGGATGATGTGTGTGTGAGTGCTGGATGATGGGTGTGTGAGTGCTGGATGATGGGTGTTTGTGTGAGTGCTGGATGATGTGTGTTTGTGTGAGTGCTGGATGATGTGTGTTTGTGTGAGTGCTGGATGATGTGTGTTAGTGCTGGATGATGTGGGTGTGTGGGTGCTGGATGATGTGGGTGTGTGGGTGCTGGATGATGTGTGTGTGTGTGGGTGCTGGATGATGTGTGTGTGTGCTGATGATGTGTGTGTGTGCTGGATGATGTGTGTGTGTGCTGATGATGGGTGTGTGAGTGCTGGATGATGTGTGTGAGCGTTGCTGGATGATGTGTGTGTGGAGCTGGATGATGCGTGTGTGAGTGCGGCTGGATGATGTGTGTGTGTGTGAGTGCTGGATGATGTGTGTGTGTGTGTGTGTGCTGGATGATGTGTGTGTGAGTGCGTGCTGGATGATGGGTGTGTGAGTGAGTGCTGGATGATGTGTGTGTGAGTGCGTGCTGGATGATGTGTGTGTGAGTGTGAGTGCTGGATGATGTGTGTGTGAGTGCGTGCTGGATGATGGGTGTGTGAGTGCTGGATGATGTGTGTGTGAGTGCGTGCTGGATGATGTGTGTGTGAGTGTGAGTGCTGGATGATGTGTGTGGGGGGGGGAAGCATTTTTTTACTTTATGTATAATATTTATTTTATTCCCCCCTCCCTGCTTCTTACCTTGTCAGGGAGGGGGGAGATCGCCTGGTGGTCCAGTGGAGGGAACCAGCCGCTGCACAGAGGAGCCATCACACGCTGTGTTCCCTCTCCAGCTCTAACTCTCGCGAGACTCGCCTGTGCGGAGCGTTGCCATGGAAACAGCCGCAGGTCTCGCGAGAGCTATAGCTGGAGAAGGAACACAGCGTGTGCTGGCCCCTCTGTGCAGGTAGCAGGGCCGGTCCTGCAGGACAGGTAACGGGAACGGCGTTCCTGCTGTGGAAAAAGTGCAGGAACGCCGTTCCCATGCGTTCCTGCAGGACTCGAGCCCTGCCTCTCTAAGGTATCAATATCCTTCTGAAGATATGGTCTCCAGTACTGTGTACAATACTCCAAGTGAGGTCTCACCAGTGTTCTGTACAATGGCATGAGCACTTCCCTCTTTCTACTGCTAATACCTCTCCCTATACAACCAAGCATTCTGCTAGCATTTCCTGCTGCTCTATTACATTATTTCTGATGACTTAAAGGTAGGCAGACAATCACCCCTAAATCCCTTTCCTCAGATGTTGAGGTTAGGACTCTATCAAATATTTTGTACTCTGCCCTTGGGTTTTTACGTCCAAGATGCATTATCTTGCACTTATCCACATTAAATGTCAGTTGCCACAATTACCTCCCAAACTATAACCCAATAAGACACTGACACTAATGTATGGGTCAAAATGTCCACAGCTTTTATTAATGGTAATAAAAATATAGTTAGCCCCTTAAGGATGGCGGGCCTTCTAAACCGTCCTTTTTGGGGCGGTCCTAAACGCTGGCGGGCGGCATAGAACGTCCCCGCCATCCAGGGCACTAACCGGGTCCCCGTCAATCCCACGCCGGCGGTCGCGATCCTGGGGACCCCCTTCTGTCTGATCCGCCCCCAGCCATGTGATTGCGGGGTCCTCGCGATCACATGGCCGGAATAGCCGGCTTATGCAGTGCCTGCAGGGGGCCTGCCTGAACTATCAACATTAGTAAAATTTATTAAACATTTTTGAAATTAAATAGAAAGTACTTAAATCATATATATATATATATATATATATTGTAACAAACCACCTCTTTTACAGGTAGGATTGTCACCGATCTTGCAGTAACCACAGCCTTCTAGGGTATACAAAGTCCAGGACACCTTCAGCTCAGTTTTTCTTTTTATTCAGGTTCTTTAAATAATAACAAAAACAAACAAAATCCCTTGCTCTTACTTGAGCTCTTACTAGACAGTAATTGCTATCTGCAATTGGGTGGCTTTCCCACTTACCAATTTTCCAAACAAAAGAAATGTCTTTGCAATAAACACACTTGTCTTTCACTCTCCTAGCTGTCTTTTCCTCCCTCACACTGCAGCAGGCTGCCCTCTTCTTTTAAAGGCCTGTCTACTAATTGACTAGCTACAGGTGAGTGCCAATTAATTAACTCGTAAGTCAGATCCAAATAGTGGTCTGTTACACAGCAACTAATGCTGTTGGAGCATTGGCCCACCCTGCTCTCCAAATACTCCGCCCCAGGGACCCATACCATGTTTTGCAGAGCATCAGCTATGCATATTGCAAACTTTAACATCTCTCCCTGGGGCATTTAACTGAAAAATCCTCTGGTTGCTGTTTAGCAAATCAGGTCTGATGTATCTCCCATCAACCACTATTCCACCTTTACGCTCACAATATATATATATAAATATATATAAATATGTATGTACTTTTATATACACATACCTGTACATACCTCATATAACTGTATTTGGATATTAATATACAAATATATCAAATTCAAAATACAATTAGAATTACTTTATAAATACATATATGGATCTATTTATCTATATATATATGTGTGTAAACAAAAATCATTTAAAAAAATTACATACATATACATATTTAAATTCTACAAATATATTTATATAATATTTTTACATAATTAAGTCATTTTATTAATTACAATCTGAGGGACCTGCGTGACAACCCAGGCAGAAAGTTCAGAGAATTTGGCTCGCAAGCCCTATATTTAACCCTGTAACATTCCAGGTCACCATAAAACCTGTACATGTGGGGGGTACTGTTTTACTCATGAGGCATCGCTGAATACAAATATGTGTACTTTATTGCAGTAACAGCTAACAGTATTGTGACATTCACAGTTAAAATGCCATGCAGAACAAAAATTTGTTTTTACAAAATTCTTAATTTCTCATTATCTTTTATATTTAATTCATATTTTTATTCAAATTATGTTTAATATACAAATATTTGATGTGACATGAAAGCCCTGTTTCTCCTGAACAAAATGAAATATAATAAGTGTGGGTGCACATAATATGAAAGATGTGAATTACGCCTGAACAGACATATAGCGCAAATTCAAGGTTTTGTTTACGTTTTGATCACAACTTGTACAACTGCCTCAGTCCTTAAGGGGTTAAAGTAATTGCCCAGCATCATATGTCCCCGAAACAAAAGACAATGACCCATATTTTTACCATAAATATAAATAACAATAATAACAAACATCTTAAACATAATATAAAGTGCCACACTTTTGTGAAATAACCACGGTAGGGGTATACCCGGATACCCCTACCACCCACCAGGTTCTGAGCCACCACCGAGCTTGAAGCTTACCTAAGTTTATAACGAACCATTTAACCAAACTCTTAACCAGCAGCCTAACTGCCCTATTCTATTTAAACTAACCCAGAGCCTGTTTGTCCCCTAACCTTTTTTCTCTCTAGTCCTGCCGCTGTGACCAAACGGGAGCTAACACCCCTTACCCCTTTACATGGGAGGGAAGGAGAGAGGGACACATTCGGCCAGGTAAGCAAATTCAAAAAATGTGAAAAAAGAGTGTGAACTTCGTAGATGTACTACCACCACAAAGATCACTCTGCGGAGCGCTAGAGATAGGGAAATATCTTACCCCTATATAAATATCGTATACATCACTTTAACAGCATATAAAATCTAGAACAGAGAAATACACATCATAGTGCAGAATGATTGTAAAATGTGTATGGAATGGAGGAGAGTGTAAGTCCAACTCACATGGCACAGAGCCTAAGGATTGGCTCGAATCACAACAGCTTGGGTATATTTAGGCAATACCAGACCTCCTCCCGATATGCAGCTCGCAGAATATATGGAAGAGAAAAGAGGTAGAATTCCTAGTGCAAATACGTATGGTAGGAAGAGTGATCACAAAAAATCATATGAATGTGCTCACCTGAAATAGAGACGATAATATTAGGCTCTATATATATGCGCCACTGTGCCTTTAAGGGAGGCACTACCCTTCTTTGATGAAATACAGGAAGCAGTAGAAGATCCACTCACAGGTATGTATATATAAAAATAACAAATTTATTTTAAAAAACAAAGTAATAGATAAAAGCTATAATCAGTAAAATACCAAAATAAAAGTCTCCAGAGTGGTCTTCCTCAAATCCGAGACGCGTTTCGCCGTGGGGCTTTCTCAGTCGGATAAGTTTGCTTCCTGAATTGACAATGTTTAAATACTGGTGCCATCACTCCAATTGGGTGAGTTAATCTTCGCCAGCCAATCAAACGGTGGTTCAATCACCAAATGAATGTCTTGTAGGGGTGTGTCTTCTGTTTTAGCTGTCATCGCTCGGAGCATGCTTAGAAGTTACTGCAATGCCTAATTCTAAAATGGCTGCCTATTTATACTGGATCAACCCCTTAACACTCCAACTCCTAATCCCTGGGGGCCTCCCCCTATGCCCGCCTCCTAGATCTGTCAGGCCCCTTTCCACTAAGCTGCGCATGTTCCAAAGGTTTACACTCATGGTTCACGTGGGACTCAGCAATTTGCCCTTGGTGTTTGTATACACCTACCCTGGTAAATGTCATACCATACATCCTGCTTATACATAGGCCTTAGTGCTTACATGTACTCATAGGCGTGTGCAGCCTATTGCATTAGGGTGTGCACCCTAAAGCACAAGCACACGCCGCATATATATATGTATGTATGTGTGATGGTGCTGGTAGTGTGCTATGTGGGTGAGGGTGTTTGTGTGTGCGCGCTTGTGAGGGTGCTGTTAATGTACTGTGTGTGAGGGTGCTGTTTGTGTGTGTGTGTGTGCGCTTGTAAGGGTGCTGTTAATGTACTGTGTGTGAGGGTGCTGTTTGTGTGTGAGGATACTGGTAGTGTGCTGTGTGTGTGTGAGGGTGCTGTTTGTGTTTGTGAGGGTGCTGTATGTGTGTGTGGGTGCTGTATGTGTATGTGGGTCAGGGGCGTATTAGCCGCGAGGCAAACAAGGCATTTGCCTTGGGCGGCATTTTTCAGGGGGCGGCAAAAAACGCCGCCCCCCCAAATGCCCAGGGCAAATGCCTAGTTAGCCTTGCGGCTAACTGACATCCCGAGCGGGCGGCGCTGGCAGGCGGGCGGCTGGCGAGGGAGCTCTTCCTATGAGCTGACTGCTCAGCTCCCTCGCACGCCGCAGAGTGAGGCTGGGAGCCGGAAGATGACGTCATCTTCCGGCTCCCAGCCTCACTCTGCAGCCGGCGCGCGAGGGAGCTGAGCAGTCAGCTCATAGGAAGAGCTCCCTCGCCGGCCGCCCGCCTGTCAGCGCCGCCCGCCTGACCTGCAGCCACCGGACCACCAGGGAGAGAGACCCCCCCCCCAGCACTCCCAAAGGTAAGGAGGTTGGGGGGGGATTTAAATTAAAAAAAAAGTTAATGTGTGTGTGTGTGTCTGACTGTGTGTGTGTGTTTGTGCCTGACTCTGTGTGTGTGTTTGTGTCTGATTGTGTATGTGTGTGTGTTTGTGTCTGACTGTGTGTGTGTGTGTGTGTGTTTGTGTCTGACTGTGTTTGTGTGTTTGTGAGTGTGTGTGTGTGTGTGTCTGACTGTGTGTGTGTGTGTATGTGTTCACTGTGTCTGTGTATG